ATTCACATATGCTACACTTCCATAATTAAGTTGCTTTTTTAAAAAGGGGTTTTTTGGGGGCCTGGGTACATGACAAGGTTGGGTTTGCCAAGACCCTCCCCTTCTTCAGGGGGTTTGTATGGAAACATGAGATGATGGTTTATCTCAGTGGGTTGGGGAATTGAGTTGGGGCAAAAACTCCCCAGCAGCTGAGGGCCCGTCGCTTCCTAACCAGTGCTGTTGCTGGGGCTAGTCATCCAGGGGGTTTCTTGTCAGATACCGGAAAGGTTTTTCCCAGACTTTCCGTACCCCAGCCCCCCGCCCCCAAATATGTGCCAAACTTAGGACCTGCTTGCAACACATGGTAAATGACTATAGCACATAGGAGGTCAGCTGCTTAGAGCTTATCTCCCTGAGGTATCAGCCATCTAGGGCAATCAGACCCTATCCTCTGTCCCACTGTAGGTGGGGCCCACTCCCTGCTGATAAGTATAGAAGATTGTTTCTCTGAAGGAGAGCACAAACTCAAGGACAACCCAAGTTAGGCTGCCATCTTGAATCGAGGATCTGCCCATCTTGTCACATGTGTACCCCTAGTCCCTCCCCTTCCTATTACGTGTCCACCCAGATCGTCCCCCTCCCATTGCATGAATTACCTATGGTACAACCCCTTCCCGTTATGGTACCATCAGTGGGGTTGCATGGCCCCTAAGTGTATATAGGCCTTGATTAGAAATATACTTGCTCTCTCTCCTCCTCTCTTCTCCCACCTCCACATGGACTACCCAGAGGGGCTGAGGTCAGCATGCTACCATGAAATATGTCTGACTCCATTATTTTACTCTCCTATCCATCCTATTCTGTATGACTACTACAATTTTTATATATTACATAAATATGTTATATTTTATTATATATACTATAATTTATATACTGTATAAACCCTGAGGTTGTCAGAGGCTGGTTTACTCTGTCAGTTTCTTATTCCTCGGAGGCCATGTTGCATAAGGGAAAGCAGAGAGCCAAAGGGAGTTCTATATACATTGTCACAATCAGTTCAAGTGGTCGGTCCCTCCCTGCTCTTGCATTCATTATTTGCTCCCCAGTTGCGCTCGGCCTCCCCATCCCCCATCCCTGATAAACCATTGCATCAGTTGTTTTCTATGCATTTGCTCTTTCTGTGCTTCATAAACTGGGCAACCTAACAGAAACA